CCAGCAGCATTATTTGTAGAAATGCCCATCACAGAAGTACAATAATGAGGAGGGCTGACTGTTGCATAGTTGGGACAAGCATATTCTTGGACAAGACTGGGTGCAGGCTCAGTGGAGACCAGAGAAGGCCCAAGTCAGCCATACACTTCTGACCAATCTTGAGACTACACATATGCACATAGGAAACACAACATGAAAGGGTTAAGTAAAAGCCAGGGAAGACTTGGAAACTGTTCAAACTTTGAGTAACAAAATAAAATGTCATTTTGGATGACATAACTAGTACCTGTAGTGTCTATGACCATGGTGATTAATAGTTCCAGCACTAAAAATTCAAAATCTTGCCTCCTTCCTGCTCTCCCTAAGATCTGGATGTTGGTATGTTTAGCCTGCCCACTGGTAGTTATCCACCCTCCAAATTGAAGTAAGTATTAACTAGTTATAGTGGTGCTTTCAGACACAAGCCATATCAAACACCCTGGTAACAAAGAATTGTTCTGCCTGCAAAAATATGCCAGAAAGCCTTAAAATCTCTAGTATCTGCTTCAAAGCCCAGAACAGAGGATTGAGCCAACTCACAGAGTTTCCCTAATCTAATTCAGCTGACATAAGTATACCCTGAACTTTCATTAAATTTACTTTCTAAAGATGCTGCTTTGGATAAGGTGAATCCCTTTCTCAAAAATCTATTTGGGCATTAGTGTGCCCATCAAAGGACCAGGACATGGTGGTAGAAGTCAAAGTCATGGTTTAAATCTTGGCTCTGATATGAACTAGTCATGTGGACTTAGTGAAGTAATTTATCTTTTTAGTCTTAGATTATTTATCTCTTAAACTGGTACAGCTCTGCCTACTCCACGAAGCTATTGTAAGAAAAAAGACAGGATAGTCTATACAAAGTAATGGATCCAGTGTCTGTGAGTTGAATATGAATAAAAGATATAGCCAATATGATAATCAAGGCTTTCCAGAGTTTTTCCTAGACCTACCTATCTGTCCTAATCTTCCAGTAGCACCAGTATGAATTCCCTATTCCAATCAAACCAGATTTCCAACCAACTACCACCAGGCAATGACTCTAGCCTTTCCTGCTTTGGGGGCTACCTTATTCCCAACTCTATATTCAGTAATTCTACTCATCTTTCAAGACTTAGCTTGAAGACCATCTTCTCTATGGTGTTTTTCTGATCATTAACTCTTTAAACAACTCAAAATATACTTATTTACAAACATTAAAAAATAGCTATTTGGACATGTCTTTTTCCTCTGGTATAGAATACATGTCTGGAAGTATACCGAGACTTGTATAACCTTGTTATGTATCCCCACAGTAACTCTCATGGCTCTTAAGTAGGATAGGAGTCTCAAATTATTATTTTTCTGAGGAATTCCTTAAAGAATAATTTGAAAACTTCTATTCAAGTCCAATTTTCTCACTTCATAGGTTAAAAAATTGTCTCCCAAAACAGAATGTTTACATTCAAAGGTTTACAAGTGGTTTCATGTTAGAGCTAGAAGCAGAATTTAGGCTTCCTGTGGCAGAGACTTCAGGCTGTTCCCCAACATCAATTCTCCTCCATAGCTACAGGACTACCAATTTTTAGTTTGAACATGGTCACTTAGAAAAAAAAATATTCATTGCTTATCCTTCCTTAGTTAAATGTGGATATGAGTTCTATTAAATGACACTGCCACAGAAATGCTTATTATCCTTTCTCTACCATTTCTTTATCCTACTGCTTGGAGTGTGGATGTAATTCATTATTGAATCATGAGGTTGAGGGCCACACTGCAAGGATGGCAAAGCAAATAGCTGAAAGGGCTGACTTCCTGAGGCTTTCAAGGAGTAGAGCTATAATATTAGTTATAGATTGCCCACATCTAAACTTTTACATGTAAAATAAATAAACCTCTATCTTGTTTAAGTTGCTGTTATTTTATTTATTTATTTATTATTTTATTTTTATTTCAGAATATTATAGGGTTACAAATGTTTTGGTTATATGAATTGCTTTTGTACCGTTTGCATCAAAGTTACCAGTGTGTACATCACCCAGATAGTGTGCATTGTACCTGGTAGGTATAATTTTACCCATCCCCTCCACACCCCTCCTATCTGCTTGATTTCCATTGAGTTTTACTTACATATGTGCACATGAGTGCTAATCGATTAGTTCCAATTTAATAGCAAGTAAATGTAGTGTTTGTTTTTCCATTTCTGAGATACTTCACTTAGGAGAATGGTCTCCAGTTCCATCCAGGTTGTTAGAAAAGGTATTAATTCATTTTTTATGGCTGGGTATTATTCCATAGTATACTTACACCACATTTTATTAATTCACTCATGAATTGATGGACACTTGCCATCTGATCTTTGACAAAGCAGAAAATAATATACACTGGGGAAGAGAATCCCTATTCAATAAACAGTGCTGGGAAAATTAGATAGCCACATGTAGAAGGTGAAACAGGATCCTTACCTTTCACCACTCACAAAAATTAACTCAAGATGGATAACAGACTTAAACCTAAGACATGTAAATTGTGGTTACTTTAGATATTTGCTATTTTGAATAACTGTTATTGGAAATTTAACTGAGCCTATTATTAAATAGTTTTCTTATCAGCTTTCTGCTGTTCTCAGCTTTTCATGCTGCTTCCAGACATATTTCTTAATTCATTCTTTCATTCATTCAATCATTCATGCAGTGTGCACCTACATTCTATCTGGCATAAATCTAGGAGGGGTTTTAGGTTGACACAGAAATGAAATACACAGATCCTGCCTTAAAAGTCACAGGTATTGAATGAATTTACTATTCTCTTAAATCATATCACAATTCATATGTGTAGCAAACATTTATCTCATAATTTCTCTGATGGCCCTATCTTCAAATAATCTCATTGACTCTAGTACTATATCATGATCAGACTATTTGTGCATAATATTTTCTATTTTCCTTTACATCCTTTCTCTCCACCTTTTTTTTTTTTTTTTTGCTTTTTGCTTTGAGAGCCTTATTTGTATAGATTACATCAATGTGCTGCCTTGCCCTTTGGCTTCTTATTGGGTTGGCCACTAGAAACTCCAGCAGGAGATCAGAAGGAAGTAGGAGAATGAGATTTATGTATTCTTATTTCTCATCTCCCTCTTTGAGGAGTTATCTCAGGCTAACTGTATACCTTAACTGAAGGTCACCATTCCCTTCAAGATGGTTCACTATCCAACTCTCTACTATCAGGTTCTAGTAACCAATCCCTCCCTTCATACCCTTCCCAGGGGGCTGTTATTATCCCCTGGGAACTTCACTATATCTTGTGGTTTCCCTACACACTGCCCACACCTTGTAAATAGTCCATTTATTAAACCGTACTAATTTGAGGCTGCCATCTGTTTCCTGCTAGCATGCTGACTGATACACCATGTGTCACAATTTTTAGTTCAAAATATATAGGCACTGGATACAAATGACACCTACCAGAAGCACTGTTGGGAAGAAGGTTGGAGTAGAGGAAAGATATTTAACAAAATCTTAGTTCATAGAGAATCTCAGACTATAAGAATAACATCATGACCAGGTTTGGCTCTCAGGTACCTGAGCTGTACACAGGCCTTCTTTATTTCTCTTTTGGGGGTATCCTGGAATTATTTAGAACTGGGACTCACTTTTATGTGGAACTCACAGTCATCAGGAAGAGTCCATTTATCTACCAACACATATTAGAACCCCAAGTATAGTATCTTTTGCCAATTCCACCAGTATCTTCACTTGGAACCTATAAAGCCTGTTCAATATGCCCATTTTAGGGACACAATCTATACTTCTTAAAGAGTGAAACATAGACCAAATTATTACCTGATTATTCTTTATTAGCAACCAAAGTATTGCTGACATTAAAGAACAACACCTATGAATCCAATATGAAGAACAACTTCAGATTCTGGTTCGGGCAGGGATGGGAGGCAAGATGTTCAAGTCCTAATGTCCAGAACCTGTGAATATGTTACCATACATTACAAAAGGGCTTTTACAGGTGTGATTTGGGGGAGATTAATCCAGAACCAAACATAATCACAAAGATCCTTATAAGTGAAGGAGGGAGGCAAGAGAGTATAGAAGGATACAGCATGAGACCCAACCAGCTATTGATGGTTTTCGTGATGGAAGGGAACCACAAATCAAAGAATGAAAGCAGATCCTAGAAGCTGGAAAAGGCAGGGAGGGTAATGAATTCTGCTTAGAGTCTCCAGAAGGAACACAGTTCTGCTAATAACTTGACTTTAGTCCAGTGAGATTCATTTTGGACTTCTAACTTCCACAATTATAAAATAGTACATTTGTGTTGTTTTAAGCTACCAAGTTTGTGGTCATTTGTCACATCAGCAATAGGAAAATAATATGGAGTGGAGGATTGAAATCTTCAGACTGACAGAACTAAACCTGGAGCAGGGAAGAAGGGTTGGGAACTGGTGGATAGCAAAGACAGAACTCACTGCTCGGTACAGCCAGACTGCACACTACTTGCTAACCTGTACTGCAGGCAAGTTGGAGTCACTCAGAAACAAATTTATTCTTCATTTGAGAGGCTCATAGTCATAAAGTGCTTTCACACCTTTTGTAACACCCAGTAGAAGTCTTTTCTCTCAGAGTTTTGGGAACTCACCAGAACTTTTATATATTTTTAAAGAGCTTTATCAGCTTCATTAAGAAAGACAACCAGCTGTCTCATATCTTATTCTGTGACTTCCTAGTGCCCAATGTAGCAATGAATCACACAATAAAAACAATATTTTAAAGAATTATTAAATATTAATTATATAATAATTATTTATACTATATTATTTAATATAAATTTATTAAATTATTACCATTTCCAGATTATATAATCTACAAAGGACCAATATTCATTATTTGTAGTCTATAAAAACCCATTGATAAGTCCCTAGCCTAAGGTTGTCTGTTTCTCAACGAGCATCCCAAATCTGGCACAGGTCTTACCACGCTCTGGCCCAGCTGCTCCCGAAAGAAGTAATCCAGGTTTCTCTTTTGCAGACTGTCAAGGTAATGTTGGAAGCGTGTGTAAGTATACGGGTAGCAGTAAGCAAATTGGTAAATATCTTCTTCTCGGTCAAAACAAAAGGCAAAGGACATCACGTAATTCTTCCTGTGGTCTGGGCAACGGTAGTAGTAAACATTTTTAGGTGGAAGCCTTTGCCTGGAAGATGCAAACAAAGAAATTTGGGCATATCAGATAGTTGTTCAAACTTCAAAAGGTAATAAATAGGAATGAATGCCTAGGAGAAAAACTGTTAACATGAAGAATCCTGGGTTGTAGGAGTGGGGCAACAATGACACAAACCACACAGAGTCAAAAACAGGCTTGACTCTGGCAGCACTTTGTTCAAAATCCAGTGCTATCCTTTCTCAACTGTTAGAAAGTACAAAGTTAAGCAAAAATTAACAGATTTTATTCATTTATTTATCCTTATCTTGAGCACGTATCATATGCCCAGACATCATATGCCTAAGTCTTGATATAAAATAATAAATGAGGCAGCCAAGATCTCTGTCCTCATGGAGTATATATTCTAGTGTGGAAGCAGTCAATAAAATATTAAAAATAAATAAAAAATATAGTTGCAGACTCTAAAAGTGCCTTGAGGGAAAATAAAGAGTGTGATCTCATAGAGATATAAATGAGGGATGCCTATTTTCCTAGGGAAGTTAAGCACTTTTATTATAATACTAATTCAGAGCTTTTAAAATAAACTAATATGTTTTGTGAATATTCAAGGGAGGGAAAATATTCAACATTTCTCTAAATTATTATTATTATTTTTTGACATAGTATTCCATAACACCTAATTTTCCACAGAAGCACTTTGGGAAATACTGCTTTAAAATGTGCTGTGTGGTAAATTTTGCTAAGAAATCATGCTCATTCTTCAGTAAGACTGAGATGCAAACATGAGGAAGGGAAAAATGTTCCAGTCACAGTTCCCATAACTTCTTTACATTTTATAGAGTTACTGCACCCTCTCATGCTTTATGATATCCAAACTCTTCACACTGTTTCCCTGCCGAGAATGCCTCTCATTTCTCTCTTCAAATCCTGTTAATCCTACAATACCCATCTCAAACAGCGCCTTTTCCATGATCCTGCATTGACAATTCCAGGTTAGTTCAGCTCACATATGTTGCAGTAATTCTTGCCTTTTAATCAACTGCTTCACAAGTCTTGTCCACAGAGATAGGTTTGGAAGATCCTTAAGGGCAAGGATGCTTACAGGAAGTGCAGGAACAGTGGGTGGAGGATGCAAGGCTCACCTGTAGTGGCTTAGCATTCAATCAAGAAGAAAAGAAGCACAGGAGCTTATGGAGGAAAATGTGAAGAGAAAGGTATAGGAAATGAGGTTGAGAAAAACAGGAATGGTGCTTGCTTCAGGTAGAATACTCTGGAGAAAGTTTTTTAAGAAATAGATCCAAGAGAATTATAACATGCTAGTGTTCACTGCAGAATCTTGTTTCTACCTTGGTGTCTTTCTGAGACTATGGGATTCCTGTGGAAGAGCAGAGGTTTTGTGGCACTGATGCTTATACATATATTTGATTACATTAGATTTAATTAAATATTCTAATATTTTATTATAGCAGGAAAAAGTGGCCAAAGTGGTGGACCATAGGGTCTAATATGGGTAAGAATCTTAAAGTGCTGAGGAGGAGGGTAGGATACTAGATACCCAGCATAAGTAACAGAGGAACAAAGCTTTCCACACAAAAGTCAGTGTAGTATCAGAGGCTATTTAGGAATGTACTTAGGCCCCCCAATAGAGTCCACTTACCTCCCACTCCTAAAGCCACTGTGAATAAAAATGTAAGTAACAATAATCTTCTCATAATGCAAATGTAGCTTTAAACAAACTCCATAGGCACTCCTCCTTATAACCAGATTGCTACCCTAAACCTTCCTACATTGAAATTATAAATTTCAATAAAATTGAAATTATGGAGCAACCAGTTATAAAGTAGAGAAATATGGCTTAGAAGGTACATGAGGAGAGAGGAGAAAAGTTGCCTTCTTCTGTTCCTATACGTGGAATGTAGGTGAACGAATGAGTCCTGGGAGGGCAACGGGGGAAGTGATGTCCTCCAAGAGAGGCCTTAGCCTGTTGTTTTATTCAGCAAATATCTAAGTATCATATTCCAAGCATATAGATTGGTCAAGACAAAGAGTAAAGGAAGAGGCGGACTAAACAACTGAGGATCCAAGTGAATTTATTAATCATGGAGCTGAATTCCAAAGGAAAAAATAGAAAGTGGAAAGGTTTGGAGAGGGAAAGAAGCAGAGGAAAGTCACCATTAGAGAGAGAACAGACCAGTGCAGGGATAAGAATATAGCCAGAATATATGATGTTCTACATTTGTGACATGATTGAAGATGCAGGAATGTGAGGCTGGTAGAATTAGCAAGTTTCAGGGTTCCAGATTTGTATTTGCAGAGAATGCCAATGAAAGTGGTCTTGAGGTCTCCAGCCAATGATCTGTGACAGTCACTTCAGGCTCTGACTCAAAGGTCAGAGTCAGAGTCTCTTATAGCCCTGGTGAGCATGTTTTCATATGCAGGCGTTTCCTACAGTCATAAGGTCCCTCAGGTTATGACCACTGTTGTCAACTCTTCATTTACCAGTATATCCAATCAGGATTCATGCTTTAAATTTAGTCACCCTAGTTTTCTCCTCTTCTAGCCAAGTTCAGCAACTTGACTCTTGGAGGCTGCCATCACCACTGAATTTGATTATGTGCTATCAGGAGAATTCATCTACTGCCTGCAGCTGTTCCAGCTCCTCTCCCAGGTGGGTCAGGATGCCTAACCTGATTAGCAGACAGAGTGGAGGCAATGGGTCCTGGGGTAATCATCCAGGGAAGCTCAGATGCTGCTCAGAGGTTAGATTTTCCAGACTCTGACAACGATGCAAACAGAAATCTATTTGAGAAGGGCTCAGCAGGCCAAATTTGTCAGGGCTTTTAACTAATGCAAAGAATAAAGGCAAAAGAGGGTGGAACTAGGGAGGAAAAATATCTCTTTAATTTGGAATGTACTTCAGGTTTTTCTCTTATTTTGCTTATTAAATTCTCACTATGTCTCAGGCATTGTGTTAAGTGTTTTATATGTATTATTTTTTAATCCTCCCAATAAACTTATGAGCGAGAGGCTGTTAACATCCCCCTTACACAGATAAGAAAATTGAAGCCCAGAGACATAAAAAAAAATTCCCTGAGGTCATAAAGTTAGTAAGCAGCAGAGCATGTATCAAACCTGGGCCAGTGTAGCTCCAAAGCCTGTGCTCATAATCCCTATAGTATTTTACCACCCTCCTTTTCCCCTTGCTACCCAATTCCTAGCCTTACCTTCTACTTCCAGAAAAATCTGGTCTCATGATACTCTCTTGCTAAAAACTCTTCAAGCAACTCCCTATCCTCACATTTCAGTTTGGTCCACAAGGTTCCCCATGATATCCTTGAGATTCTGCCATCGCCATTCAGTTCTCCCTCCTTGAACCCTATGCTCCATTCATATTGAACTATTCACAACTTCCTCACACAAATTTGCCTCCCCTGCCATCTTACCTACTTGGTGAACTCCTACTTACAGACCCCCAAGGCAATCACTGCAGCATCAAAAATAAACAAATGGGGGTTTTCCTCAAAAATTCTTTGCCTAGGCCAATGTCTGACAGGATTTTCCCAACATCTTCTTCTAGGATTCTTAAGGTTTCATGTCTTAAGTTTAAGTCTGTTATCCATCTTGAGTGAATTTTTGTGAGAGGTGAGAAGGTAGGGATCCTGATTCGCTCTTCTGCATGTAGCTAACCAGTTTTCCCAGCACCATTTGTTGAAGAGAGATTCTTTTCCTCAATGTATATTTTTGTCAGCTTTATCAAAGATTAGATTGGCGTATACTGATGGTTTCATCTCTGGTATCTCAGATCTATTCCAGATATCTATGCTTCTGTTCTTGTGCCAGTACCAGGCTAATTTAACTATTATTGCGTTATAGTAGAGTTTGAAGTCAGGAAGACTGATGCCTCCCAGTTTGTTGGCATGCATACATATAAAGAAATGCTCAACCTCTCTAATTATTAGAGAAATGCAAATCAAAACCATAATGAGATACCACCTTACCCCAGTAAGAATGGCCTATATCAAGAAATCCCAAAACAACAAATGCTGGCGAGGATTCGGAGAGACAGGAACACTCCTACACTGCTGGTGGGACTGCAAATTAGTGAAACCTTTGTGGAAAAGAATTTGGAGATACCTCAAACAGCTAGAAATAGAAATACCATTTGACCCTGCAATAGCATTGTTAGGCATCTACCCAAAAGAGCATAAGACATTCTATTATAAAGACATCTGCACACGAATGTTTATAGCAGCACAATTCACTATTGCACGATCATGGAAGCAGCCCAGGTGCCCATCAATTCATGAGTGGATAATTAAAATGTGGTATATGCTCACAATGGAATATTACTCAATCCTAAGAAATGACAGTGAGCTAGCACCATTTATGCTATCCTGGATTAAGCTTAAGCCTGTTATCCAAAGTGAGGCAACATAAGACATGGAAAATGGGCTCCACATCTACTCGTCATCAAATTGGTACTGACTGATTTAAACTTCGATTTTCAAATGGTGGCAATACCCACCAGAGATTCGGTGGGGAGGGGACCCAATCTTAGGGATGGGACGAACATTCTGGAGGGGGAGGGCATAACTGTAACCCTTCTTAGGGAGAGGCAAAGATATACAATGTAACCAAAATGTTAAAAAAAACCAAAACTTTTTAGCAGGTGGTGGGCAGGCAGGAGTGGGGAGGAGGAAAGGGATGTATGTTTCCATAACATGTGCGATGCACACCACCAGGGGATTGGACATTTCGGGGGGAGGGAGGGGGCAGGAGCAATATTTGTAATCCTAACATTGTTTGTACCTCCATAATATGATGAAAAAAATAAAAATAAAAATAAACAAATAGGATCTGATCAAATTAAAAAGCTTCTGCATAGCCAAGGAAACCATCAGTAGAGCAAATAGACAACCCACAGAGTGGGAGAAAATATTTGCTCTCTACAGCTCTGATAAAGGTCTAATAACAAGAATCTATCTAGAATTTAAAAGAATTAACAAGAAAAAATCAAACAATCCCATCAA